CAATGCCTGGTGACAACATGGACAGGGCCTCCCAGGACCTGTGACAGTGCCCATCTCAGTCCGTCCTGGCCACGCTAGAAGGAACAGGGCACTGTCAGCTCACTTCAGAGACCAGACGCCACCCCCCAGTGAACGGCAGCTTGAGGGACTCAGTTTTGAGGCATTTGTTCTGTAGACGCGTGTACACTGCACGGGAAGATAATGTTTTGCCCAAAGACAATCAGAAAGCAAGAGACAACTGGAGGACATCCTCGTACCTCTGCAACACGACAGCAGATCTGTCTGGGCTTCCCAGGAGCCACAGTGAAGAGAGGAAAGGAGACACGCGTGCTGCCTGAACTCTGTTTCCACACACTTCCTCGGAACCGGCTCACACGTAGAGCACGGTTAAGGGCCCGGGTGGGGCTTGAGGGTCTTCCAGATGTGGGAGGCCCCAGCACAGGCAGCTGTGGACTCAAGTCCAGGAGCAGGAAGTGAGGGTAGGCTGAGCGTTGGTGTGTGGACACTGTCAGGCCTCGAGGGTCTGGGAGAAGGCATGAGATCTAAGGCTCAGTGCTAGGCAAGGCCGACAGGACGTATGCGTGGGCGAGGGAGTGAGCAAGGCCTCGGCCCCAACCCATGAGTCACAAGTGGGGGCCGGCGCTAAGACCACGGGCACTGCACTGATTGTAGGCTGTGTGGAGCATGGTAGAGAAATGGGGGAGGATTGTGAGCAGGGATTGAGGTCCCCAGAGACCTGAGCAGGACAGCACCACTCCCCCTTATCCAAGGAATAAGGAGGTGCTCAGAAGGGGCGTGCTGCAGGGAAATAGGCTAGAAGAGGCCCAAAGAGGAAGGCTGGAAGAGGGGTGCAGGGTCAGAGGAGTCAGCTAGAGGAGGGGCGTAGCAGCTGGGAGGGGAGATTGCAAAGAGGCAGCTGGGTAGGGGTGAGGGCTAGGAGGGCCATGGGAGGGGGAATAGAAAGGGGTAATGGAGGGGACAGGCAGGGGGCAGGCACAGGAGGGGTAGACCTGGCAGTATCGGAGGAAGCACATGGGGTGCATGGGAGGGGGCACATGGGGAGGTGGGAAAGGGGTACGTGGGTATGGGAAGATCAAGCAGAGGGGCTAGGGAGGGGGCACATGGCGGGGTACAGGAGGGGGCAGGCAGGGCGATATGATAGAAGGCATGTGGGGGAACATGAGGGGGACAGGTAGGGAGGAATGGGAAGGGGACATGGGGGGCAGTGGCAGAAGGCCTTAGGAGGAAAAAGGCAAGGAGGTCCAGAGAGCTGCTGGGGGTCAGGGCTCAGTGTCCCCTCCCAGCTGACTACTGGGGAGGAGGGAAGCCGAGTTTGGTGTGGTTGGTCGGGGTGTCTGCTGAGGACTGGGGCAGAGGGCAGGAATGTCGTCCTGGGGACCGAGTGGGGCCATTACAAATAGTCTCTACCCCCGTGCGGCTTCCCCAGAACCGAGTGGGGGACAGGTGCTAGAGCAAGCTGATTACCCTCAAAGCTGGAGGCTGTGACCCAGCTCGGGGGAGCGTGACCCAATTCCGAGCTATTCTCAGCACAGTGGTGGGAGCGGCTCCGAGAGGAGACAGAGTGACTTTGAAATGCCCTTGTCTTGGCAGAGATGTGGTGAGGGGACCTATGGGAACGTTTGTAAGGCCACCACCTGCGGAGAGGCTGGCAGGCCCAGGGCTCATGTGCGTCAGCTCGGGACCACCGAGCCACAGCACCATCTATCCAAGTGACGGCCTGCAGCTTCCAGGATTCAGCATCTGCGTGATGAAGCCCCCTGCCCAGCTCCACACTCAGGCCCCCGCTGTGCCGAACTGTGGGGTGCTCTCCCTGGACTTGGAGTCACTCACGGGGTGAGCTGTGATCTGTCTCCATCCCTGGATGAAGCTCAATCTGGCCAGAGCTGAGCAGGAGGCTCAAAGCCCCCCAGCGAGTCCATGAATTCTCACTCTGGGGCCTGGGCTGGGCCTATAGAGGTCGAGGAGTGTGTGGTGTCCCGCTAGGGCCTGGCCAGCATGCACTCAGTCCAGTTTAACTGCACGACCAAGCGTGGACTAGCCCAGGGATTTCAAGAAAAACCTCTCCCCTCCCCCTAACCAACCACCTCAGGCAACAGTGCTGGTCTTGGAGACACAAAGGAGGGCTTCCTGGAGGTGGTAACAGCTACCTTTGGTTTCAGACAGGCTTGCACCACCCATCTGAGTGAAAACCCACAATGTCCATCCTGTGGTGACTTAGGTCGACACTGGAGCTATAGCACCAGTGTTTCAGACTTGAGTGAGGTCACCTGTGCTGGAGACGTGTCAGAAAGGCCTGGTGATCCCTGAAAGTCAACCAGTGCCAATCCCTGCAACCACAGAACCTGTGGACTCAGGCCTGCGAGGTGAAGGGAGCCGTCCTTGGAAGGTGACCAAGGGTCGTCTGGAGTCAGAGATGACAGGACCCCACAACAGGAGGGGCTGGGATGGGAACAGGGGATGGACAGTCTTGGCCCCCCTGAAGAGTGAAAGCTCACACCCTCTACCTTCAGGGTCCCGTCTAGGACTTGGGGGCCCTGGTAGGAAGCAGGACAAGTATGAGCTTCCCAACACTGTGTTGGGGTCCCTGCTATGATCCCATAAGTGGTTTGTCTCAGGTGGGGTGTGTCTCAACATCCAGGATGGTCCAGCAGACAGGTACTCAGTGTACATCCATTATGTCAAAGCGTGGTCACCCCCAACAAGCCCTGTGCCTGGTAGAAGGCAGGCCTGGGAACGGGGCGGCTCGCCTGCTATCCAGTGGCCGGGCCCTCCCCCTGGGCATTACTCAGCGGTCGGAGGGGCACCCACCTTCTTGGCCTCTGCAGGGTCAGCAGTGACCACCCATGTCAGCCAAGGCCAGGGAAACCTTTGGGCACTGTCCCCTAGGCCTAGGAGTCACTATGGTCACTGGGGTGGGGACAGCGTGGCCAGAAGTGATGAACTGGCCCAGCAGGTCTCCTGGCCTCTACACCCACCGGTGCTGGGCTGCAGTCCACAATGACCATATGCCTTGCAGCTCCAAGACCTCAGGGGTGGCTAGCACCGTAGGCACCAAGACAGGGCAGAGGTAGGGGATTCCATGGAACCAGTGAGGGTCTCTCGTGCCAGCAGTCCATCCTACTGCCAGCCAGATGCAGGCCCCGAGACTTCATGAGTGGAGATTGGGCTGAAGGGGAGACTCATCTGAGCCCAGCGTGAGGGGCCTCAAGCAGGGGAACCAGGCCAGAACCCTCACCAGGGCGGCAGCCTACAGGTCAGCTCGGGCCCCAGGGCACAACCAGTGCAGGACACAGGGTGGGGCGGGAGGAGTAAGGAGTGGGCTGCGGCTGTGGTTTTCCTGGAAAAACTGAGTTTCTGGTGCCTCCTCACCCTGTGCCGAGCCCATGCTGCTGACTCAGGGGGCTGGCCTGCTGTCTGGTCACTGTGTCCTCAAGCAGCTGGCTGTGCCCCTGGAGCAGACAGCAGCAGGGCCAGGAGACAAGTGCTGAGAAGGGCATGTCTGCTCTGGGCCATGGAGATGGACTAGGAGTATGTGGCTGACCAGAAGAGGGGGCAGGCATGTTTGGGGTCCGGTGAGGAAAGCCTGGCTGCAGCCCGACTTCTGCAGCATGAATTTGGGACAGAGATCCTGACCCCAGTGATGGCCCCGCCCCACCTTAGCTGTGGGTGGATTTTCGGCCAGCCCTCCAACTCACACTGGGCATAGCCTGCCAGACCCCAGCCCAGCTGGAATGGGCCTTCAGGCTGTCCCTCAGCTCCGTCCACCACCCTCAAAGAGAGCCTGGCATTCACAAAGGTGCAGATGGATGTCTGTTCACCCTAGGGGCTTCTTGCCACTGAAGTGCCTGATAGACCTTAGGAAGCACCCCAGCTTTCTGTTCTGCTCATGGGGTCAGAGAGTAGTGCAGGCTTTGGAAGGGGGACAACTCGCTAATGCCAGGCCCAGGGCCAGGGGGTCCAGGGCCCCAGAGGACGCCGTCACAGACCATGCCTTCCGCAGGGATCACAGCCTCACAACAGTGGGCCAGGCCATTGTGGGAGGAAGTCCCCACATGCTGCCTGCCATAGCCTGACCCATCTCCACTCAGGGCACTTTGAATCCTGAAGGCAGGCCTCCCCGCAACCCAGAGCTACTGTGAAAGGAGCTTGCTGGGCAGTGAAGAGGAGGGGCCAGGGACAGGACTGGACACACTGGCCCCGCCCTCTAGCCTACTCTCCCTTGGGACAAAGGCTCTTTCTGCTGCCGAGCAGGGGGTGGTCACACTTGTCTCTTTGTCCCCATTTCCCAGCCTTTGTCCAGGACCAGGAGGCTGTGTGGGGCCAGACGGCCAGGAATCAAGCAAGGACCAGCATGAGAACATCAGCCAATATTTACTGTTCACCAGTGAGGTGCACTGGCTGGTGCGTGTTACCCTTTACTGCTGCGCCTTTAAGAGATGGGGGACACAGCCCCAGGGTGCTGTGAGGGGCAGGACAGCACCCCCAGTGCATCTGATCCTGGCTCTGACGGGGCTGGTGGGGCATGCACCCTCGTCACCACCCCCAGAGACATTAGCCAGGGGGCTGGCTTCTTAAAGACAAGTCGAGAGCTGGTCCCACAGAGAGGGACACAGTGCTCCTCCTCCAGCTGTTGGAGCATCTCAGAGAGATGGGCCAGCCCAGGCACCTCAAACCAGAGGCCTGGGCAGCAGGAAATGTTCACAAAACGTTGCAACGTGGATGCCGGGCAGGGCTGAGCAGTCTGTGCCTGCAGCTGGGCCCCCGCCCACAGGCCAGGCAGGCTGGAGCCAGCCCCCAGAGCTGGGGCCACCCAGGAGGCAGGCCCACCACTCCTCTGTAAACACAGGCCGGCCAGCTGCACTGGCCATATAAGGCTGCCTCTGAGTGAACTGTGCCCAGCCAGCCCTGTGTTCCGGCTTCCAGGGCGCACTCTCGAGCCCAGTCCACGGTCCTTCAGGGCAGGTGTCCCACACATCCCATTAGCTTGGAGTCTTGGTAGCAAAGGTCAGGTAGCCAGTGTGGCCCACCGCCTCCTTCATGGGCATGCCACTGCGGAAGGGGCTGGCCTCGGCAGGGCCAGTGCCCAGGTCAGGCAGGGGCAGGTGGACGGTGCGCACCTGGTACAGCTGCGGCAGCACCTCCACAGTGCTCAGCTCCTCGAAGCCCTGGGCTGCCAGGGCCTGGCACGTGCGCTGTACCTGCTCGATGCAGGGCGAGAAGGAGCAGAAGCGCCCACCTGGGGGCAGGGCTTGGTCAGACTCCACTGTCCAGCCTAGACACTCCTGTTCCCACGCCCTCCACAGGGCAGTTGCCAGCACTCGTTAGAGGGGTGGGGGCGAGGGGACAGGGCGGAGCATCTCCAGAAATACAGCTACGGTGACAGGGCTGCTGTGGGGGGGCGGGGGCTGGCACAGAAAATTAGAGGCTGTCGCCTGCTCCCGGGAACAAACAGGCGCCCACTCAGCTGGGCCAGGAGGGTGATGGGCGGGGGCGGCACCGACAGCCCCATCCTGCCCCCCACCCTCTCTGTCACTCAGCCTGGCAGCCGGGGGAGGAACGTGTGCCCACTTCCTGTGCACGGCTGGGGAAGAGAGGCCCAAAGCACACTCCTTCCTCAGAGTAGCCCGAGGGACTGAGGACATAGAAACAGAGACACACCCAGCCCCCTGGGACAAGGACTCACTAGTCTGAAGCACAGAGGCAGGGCTGGGGGAGTGGAGGGAGGTGAGGGCATGAGATGGGAGTGGGGGCAGGGCTGGGGGAGTGGAGGGAGGTGAGGGCATGAGATGGGAGT